GTTTACGCTAACTATTACTATGTTATGTTAGAGTTTAATTTTTTGGATTTAAGGTTGTTAGGGTAAAAAAAATTTAAAACATAATTTTTTATGGTTTAAAGCTTAATTTTTTTTTAATATGTGGTATTTTTAAAATTAAACAACTCAAAGTGAAAAAATTTTCAAAATGTATTTCTAAGTGGTATTTTTGAAATTCTCCAAATTAATAAATGCTACAAAGTGAATTTATATTCATTTATATCAAACTTTGAAAGCACATTATAATTTTGGGCTTTTTGGATATAAAGTAAAATCTGGCCCGGTGACACTAACAAAAAGCTTAGCACACCATAATTGTTGCACCAACAAGTAGGTTAGCCCATTTATTCGGCCTACATATCCAACGGTTTGTCTAAATAAATACACACACAGAGACATATAAGTAGTATCTATTAGTTGCTGTAAAAATATATTATATGTAGTTGAAGTGCCAAATAGTCATTACAAGTATGTATGTATTAGCAGACAATATCATGTATAACTAAAACAAATGTTGGAAAACTACCCACTGTTCTTCTCTAACAATCTATTTAACAATTCAAAACATTAATTATTCACAAGCTACGTATAGTTACATTATAAAATCTAAAAAATATTTTGATCCCTAAAACACTTTAAACCCTCAAAATTAAACTCTAATACAACATAGTTAACCAAAATATAAATGATATAATGAATTTTTTTTTTGAAAAAGTGACATTTTTGAAAAGATATTAAAAATATGGCATTTTTTTAAAAGTGGCAAGTAGTATTTTTTTAAAAAATTCCTCTATTAAAAAGTAGCTAATTTTTTAATTTAAGATGAAATATATATATTGGTATTTGTTATACAAATGTCTTCTAAAAAGTTTTGGAGTTATTTTATAAAAAAATAAAAGAAAATTATGAAAAAATAGTAGAAAATGTTATAAATATAAATTATATGAAGGAAACTCCCAACATTAAAAAGAAAAGAAGTTAACGCCCAAAATAAGAAAAGAAAATAGATACGTTGTTGGGATTTTTACTAAAAATGCCATTTGTCACAAAAAAATTTCGAAAAATGTCATTTCTTCTTTGACCCTAAAAAATCTGCCATAGTTCACTATTCACATGATGTGAAATAACTGTTATACCCCTGAGTAAGATTGATGGTATAGTTAGTGTTTATTATCCACTATCATCGAATTTTGTCCATAAACCATCTACCACTGTTTTCGTCAACAACCACCATCTTCCTTTCAT